TTTCTGTCTTGAATGCCTCCAAAATGGTCTAAAATGGAGCATTTGAACACAGAAATACCTTATTTTTAGAGGAAAACATCACATGACCAATACTTTGTAACATATTTTGTTCATTTCTGGGAGTAAACTACAACAGGAGCTTCAAATTGATGTCTCTAAATGTAAGATTTGTGTTTTGCATTAACTAAAAATGATATTGGTTATCATATAAGTTACTTGTTCTTCACATTGTTCATGTTTGGAAATGATGTTCGCATTATGATTACAAATGTGATCATCTTTGTGTGAACCTTTGTGACACAGAACTAAAACTAAACTGAATAATGAATCTATTTTACTCAAATACTAATTTTCTGACAAAAATAAGCAATGTAAACCTTTTCATGTTTTTTGTGAACCTTTACGTCACAAAAGAACTAAAACTGAATAATGGACCTATTTTACTAAATAAGATCCAAAATGTTCTGTACCTATTTTTAGTATCTAATATCTCAACAAAAAGAAAAAACACATGTAAATCTTTTCATGTTTCTGTTTGGAACGTACCAGAAATGTTCTATTTTGTTTGTTTTTATAGGAAAACCTCACATGATCAAAAACTTGTAATACATTTTATTCTTACATTTGTGTGAGTAAACTACAAGAGGAGCTTGTCTCTAAATGTGAGATTTTTTCCTGTCCATCTGCAGTGTCATGTATTAACTAAATATGATATATGTTACTTGTTCTTCACATTGTTCATGTGTTAAAAATGACATTTACAACATAATTACAAATGTGATCATCTTTGTGTGAATCTTTACATCACAGAAGAACTAAAACTGAATAATGGACCTATTTTATTCCTAATACTAAATAAGATCCAATATCTTCTGTATCTTTGTGCATTAACTAAATATGATACAGGTTACTTGTTCTTCACATTGTTCATGTGTTGAAAATGATGTTCACATTATGATTACAAATTTGTGTGAACCTCTGTGTCACATAAGAACTAAAACTGAATAATGGATCTATTTTACTCCAATACTAAATAAGATCCAAAATCTCCTCTGTATTTTTAGTATCTAATTAGAAGAAGCAAAAATTATTTCTTTTCATGTTTCTGTTTGGAATGGCTCAAAAATGTTCTATTTTGTGCATACAATACATTTTGTTCTTACGTTTGTGTGAGTTAAACTACTAAAAGAGCTTCAAATTGATCTGTCTAAATGTGAGATTTGTTCCTGTTCATCTGCAGTGTCGTGCATTAACTAAGTATGATACAGGTTACTTGTTCTTCAACCTTTGTGTCACAAAAGAACTAAAACTGAATAATGGACTTATTTTACTCCAATACTAAATAAGTTCCAGAATCTTCTGTACCTATTTTTAGTATCTAATATCTCCACAAAAAGAATCAATGTAAATCTTTTCATGTTTCTGTTTTGAATGTCCCAAAAATGTTCTATTTTGTCTGTTTTTATAGGAAAATCTCACATGATCAAAAACTTCTAATACATTTTGTTCTTACATTTGTGTGAATAAACTACTGAAGGAGCTTCAAATTGATCTGTCTACATGTGAATTGTTTTCCTGTTCATCTGCAGTGGTGTGCATGAACTAAATATGATACAGGTTACTTGTTCTTCACATTGTTCATGTGTTGAAAATAAACTTCACATCATCATTACAAATGTGATCATGTTTGTGTGAACCTTTACATTACAAAAGGACTAAAACTGAATAATGGAGCAATACTGAGATATGAGTGGAGCTGGTGGAGCACACACACACACACAGGCACACACACATGTACATGCAGGCACACACGCACACACACACAGATACATGCACACGCACACATGCACACACACATACACACACATACACACACACATACACACACATGCACACACACTGGTCACAGACTCAAGGAAGTGTCTGCAGATTTGGCTAAAAACTGGACATTTCTGAATAAACATTTCCAGATTTCTTTTGTGAAAAACAGAGCAAATAATCCATAAAACCTTTCCAAAGCTGGAGCTGCTCTGAGCTGAAGGTGTGAGCAGGTCACACAGGTGTGGGCCGTTCCTCCACCAGCTCCACGTTTAAACGGACAAACAACTTAGAATAGATGTGACTTCTGACTGGAGCTCGTGTGTTTGTGTCAGAGCCACAATCAGGACGCACTTTCTGTCTACACTGACAAATCCAACATCTTCTAACAATTTCCAAACGTTTTAAAAAGCATCAACAAATTTAGATCTCCTGAAATCTCAAACTGGAAAGGATCAAGTCTGAAAATACATTTACATTTTGGCTTTTCAGCAATTCTTTGTTTTGGGAAGCTCCAGAAACATATGCGATCAAATTAGGACAGAAGCGTCACCTCTCCTCTCTTTTTCTGTCCTTTTTTTTTTCTTTCTTCCTCTCTTTCTCTCTTCCTCCTCTCTCAAATCCTAAAGAATCCCCCCAAATCTTTCCAGAAATAACTGAATTTCACATCTGCATAAGTCCCTCACCTTTTAAGACCGGCTCAAATCGGACACACGCAAAAGGAGACGGACAGAAAAGCGATTTAAGGAGGATTTGTAGAAAGAGAGAAGAGGGAGATGGAAGGATGGAGGAAGAGTGAGAGAAAAGCAGAGAGAGAGGAAGAGGAAGAGGAGGAGGAGAGGGGCAGGTTGCGATTTGGCACGGCTCACAGATGCTATTTTAAGACGATGCAGAGACAAGAGGCGTCGACGAAAATATGGAGAATTATTTTCCAAAGACGAAGGACGAATAAAAACCAGAAATGTGAGTAATGTTTTGAAAAAGGCCTCAGAATTTCCACAAAACGCAAAGGTGAAATAAAGATACACAAGAAGCATTCCTCGATTATAAACCAAACTGCAAAAGATATTTAGTCGCTTTCAGCAAATTGGGTCAGAATTTTTTGCTACGTTGCATAAATTCGGTTAAAAAAATCATAATTTGATCCATGATGCTTTGTGGCTTTGCACAATTTCAAGAAAATATTTAAATGAAACCAAAAACTGAGGTTACACTCACACAAAATTCAGAATATCTTTGCTATAATCCTCAAAACTCTCACATGTTTTCAGACAGAAAGAAGGCTGAAAAGGTGTGAACAATTTAAAATACAAATTCAAATAATCTACCAAAAGAAACTATGAAATTGTAACACAAATATGAATTATGAACGAGAAGTTAGAAGAGTACGAGATCAGAGTTTTGTTCGAATTCTAAAGAAGGCCCTACAGTGTGAGAGAATTTAAAGAGACTGTGTCCAAACTGAATCAAATTGGCACAGCAGCTTTCTGATGTTACGAAGACGAAGAGGAGGAGGTAGAGGAAGAGGAGGAGGCGGGACGGTGGTCGTACGGACGAGAAATCATTATTAAAAGATTCCAAATAAAGTGTGTGGAATAAAGAGTTGATACTTGTGCGAGAGATGAGGGGAAGGGATTTTTTCTAAGTTGATCTAATTCTGTAAAACGCTTGAAATTGAAAAACTATTCGGAAATTTCAAAAATCCCCAAATATTCACTGCGTTTTCTATGAGGCTCATTTTAAATTCAATGCATTTGTTTGAAAGTGAAATGTAAAAAGTCCAACAGAAGAGCTGTGGATGGACGAAAGCACTTCACATGTGGAAACTGAAAATAAAGATTGGTGTTTTTGTTTTAAAATTAGATTATCAAAATTATGAAAAGTAGAATATCATAATTATTGTCAAATTCAAATTAAATCTGGTTCAGGTTTGTTGGTTTTTGTCGTTGGCTCACAGTGTGTAAACTCTTGAACTTCACTGATCCTTGACTTTAGTGGACAAAACATTTAGTGGAAAATAGATGTTTACACTTGCAGAGTTAAATAGAGTGGGTTATTTTGTAATAAAAGGAAATAAGAGCTGGGGTGGTCCAAGAAACACGAGCAAAGCTTTGAAATGTGCGTGAAAAATACGGGAGCAGATCAGATAAAAAAGCGCTTATGGGACAATTGTGTGTTTCCAAATTGCGCAGCTCGCGCCTCGTGTTTGGGGGTTCGGGGGGGGGAGGGGGTGTCCTCGTGCCCCCCTCCCCCTCCTCCCCCTCCCGCCCCACAGTCCCGCGCGCGCCGTATATTTTGAGGAGGTGAGTGTCTAAATGGGGAGTCCGCGGAGATGTCACGAGCGGCGTGTGTGGCGGCTCCACGTTACGCACGGCACCTGTTTCTGGTCGCGCTCTGCCTCCTAGCGGTCACGGCGGGAGCTGCCCACCGCTCTGCCTCCTAGCGGTCAGTGTGGGAGGTGCCCACTGCCTCAGTCTGTCACCTACACCGGACCGTGCCTCGCGCTCGGCTCGCGCACAAACCGCCACAGACGCGGGGAACGAGCGAATTTGGCGATTCTCCCAATTTTCAATTTGGACCTTTTCTCTTTTAACTTCACCATTAGAAAATGTTTGGCTTTTATTTCAGATCAATGATTTTTTTGCTATAAATCTATTCAATTTAGTTTTAAATGGAAAATTTAAAATATATGCAAGAATTTGGCATGTCATCAGACTTTGTATTAATCTTAGGTTTGGAGCAGGATCCGTGCGTAAAAGCGAGCGAATAGTCCAGTGGTCAAACGCGCTGTGAGGGAATGTGAACTTATACGAGACTCAAAACGAGCGTCCTGTTGCTGACTTGAGCCCGAAACACGGAACTGTGGGTAAAAGTGAAAGGCATTGGTGCAGGGCTGGCTGTTTGCGTAAAAGTGCGTTTTAAATCCATTTAAGGGAAAGTCCGGGCTCACATTATTCCAAAGCGACAAAAACAAGAGAGGTGGGTGCTCCACGCAGAGGCACGTAAACGAGGAGAGGAGCCGAGGAGGAGCGGAAGAGGAGCCGAGGAGGAGCGGACAGCAGCCGGGAGACGCGACACCAGCCCGGGGAAAACTTCTGCACTGCCCCGTGTCCGGAGTAAAGTCCAGCGCGAGTCCGCGCTTCCACCTGCGGGCAGAGAGTTGAGAGAGCGGCGGTACTTACGGGAGAAGTCCCTCTTGCTCAAGTGCTGCGGTTTGCCTTGTTTTCTGCGCGACATGGCGAGCGGTGGCAGCGGCGGCGATCAGCGGCGGACTGCGCGGAGGTGGAGGTTCACATCAGGGGGACGAGGCGAGCCAGGGTCCGCGGCAGGAGCGGCAGGAGCGGCAGGAGCGGCAGAAGCGGCAGCATCAACCGGCCACTGAGGGACAGAGTATCCGCTACGGCCAGCCTTTGACATCCACGTGCCCGCCCCGGTAATCAATTACAAATATGACAAAGATGGCGCAAAGGAGGCGAGGATGGATCTCGGGATGGAAGGCGTCATGGCTTTTTTGAGAGGAGCCGTGTGTGCGCTCGGACCAACGGATGGATAGAGAGAGAGGGAGAGAGAGAAATGGCCCACCACGCCACCGACCCGACCCCCCTCTCCTCTCCTGCCTCCCCCCTCTTCCTCCCCCGCGGCCCCCCCGTGTTTGGTTGGAGCCGCAAGTTCAAGTGCATGGACGTGACGAACTCACGGAGAGAGAGAGAGAGATAGGAGAGAGAGAGAGAGGCAGCCACGGGACGGACACACGACAGAACAACATGGGCAGGGCAAGGCGAAACGGTAGCCCCCCCAATGTCCCCTCCCGCCCGCCAAGCACCGAGCAGCGGCGAGGAGAGGAGAGCCAGCCCCCCGGAGCGCGGAGAGGCGAGGGGAGGGGGTAGAACAACACCAATGGACGGTCATTAGGAAAAGAGGGTTGGACATTGACAGTGGAAGCCAATGGACTCAGAGATCAACGGGGGGGCCGGACGAGAGGCACTTAGAGCGGGGAGAGGGAGGCGAGAGGGGCCGGTGAGCGCGGAGGAGGTGGTTCTAATGAAAGCAATATGCACAGAGTGTGAGAGAGAGAGAGAGAGAGAGAGAGGGAGGGAGGGAGAGAGGGAGAGGAGAGGTGCTGGACGCCGAGGCAGAGGCGCAGGGCACGGGCTGAGGAGAGCGGTCAGAGCGCGGAGAGCCAGCGCAGCGAACACAACCGGCACCGGACACGGGAGAGACACCAGACACACGCGGAGTAATGTGTGAATAACAGATGTAGCACAAAAGACAAATTAATTTGGTCAGTGGGACAAATTCGGGATATTTTTAGATGATTTTACGCATTGATTGTGTTGAGAATTGAGTGGGCATTCGGCGCACCACAGAGCAGCCCGCCCGCGTTATCAGACACACACACAAAAAAAAATCCAGTTTAGAAGTGTGTAAACAAAAGAGGAGGAGGAGAATGAAGAGTTAAAGATTAAAACACGAGGGGACGGTCATTGGAGACGGTTTTACGCGCTGATTATAGATCGAGGAAAGGGGGACACTAGAACCAAAGCGCACGGCTTCTCAAATGGAGAGGCCCACGACACAAAATCACTTAATGAAGTCACAAGCGTCCACTAATTGGTCAATAATGTGCAGCATTCTCCACAAAGTGCCCACTCAAATATTAGTAAATACAGAAACAAAGCCAAAAAAAATAAATAAAAGAGATAATAACCGCCTAAATGAAAATTCTATAATTCTTTTTCAGACAATGTGGTGCGTCCTTTTCTCACACGGAGCAGCAGTTTTCTTAATAAAATTTCAAAATAAACACGAAAATAAAAACGGTTGAACCTCCCAAGTATCGATCCAAACACACCACAAAATCTGAGTATTTACAAGAGACGTTTTACCTGCACAAACTACAAAGAGAGCTTAAAGAAAAGAGGAGGATGAGAGGGCATCTGACCCAATGGAAAGAGGAGGATGGGAGGGCATTTGACCCAAAGGAAATAAGAGGATTTGAGGGCACCTAACACATAAAATTGTTCAAGATAAGACAATTATGATCCTGTTTTCTTCACCTACATGTGTGTATTTTCAAGAAAAAGACCAGTTACGCACGATGCCTGAAGAGATCGAACTCGCAACCTGTTTGGACACGCTAACCACTCTGCCAGTGTAGGTGAACTGTGACATTCTCCTCACATCCGCGGCGTAATAGCGCGCGGTGGAGGCTGCGGTAGTCGAGTCTCATGACAAAGAGAGGAGCCGGCGACAGGAGGAGTTTGTGTGGACAGAGGGAGACGGGCAGGTCGGAGAGGCGCGCGGAACATAATCACAGGCTCCTATAGCTTCTCGGAGGTAAATATAAGATACGAGATGTGTGTGGAGGAAGAGAGGAGAGAATAAACCACGACACAAACACTTAAGATGCAAACTGTCAGGTATTAAGTTACAATTACGCATTTTCTATTTCATCCCCGTGTCAAATGCCCTCCTATTATCCTCCTGAATCCTTGGGTGTCAGATGTACATTTTCAGCATTTTTTATTCCTTCAGTGTCAGATGCCCTCCCATTCTAGTGCATCCCTGTGTGCCAGATGCCCTCCCATCCTCCTGTATCCTTGCGCGTAAAATACCTTCCCATTTTCAGCATTTTGTTTTATTTCAATATTAGACGCCTTCCTATTCTTATGTGCCCCACTGTGTCAGATGCCCTCCCATTATCCTCCTGTGCCCCAGTGTGTCAGATGCCCTCCCATTATCCTCCTGTGCCACAGTGTGTCAGATGCCCTCCCATTATTCTCCCGTACCCCCGTGTGTCAGATGCCTTCCCCGCGGTGGAAGCGCAGGTCAAAAGTCTCTCGTAAACGTGCAGATGTTGTGTGACTGTTTCGGCTCCTGTTCTCGTCTGAAAAAGGGGATTGGAGTGTGAAAGCTGAGCCATAACTCGGCCTAAACGCGGGCTGGAATAGAAAGTTGAAACCGTGAGCAGACCGAGGCTCGTTGGATTATCAGAGCCACGCGCGTTCGGCACGTTCGGGGGTGGACCGCAGTAAACACCGTGTAATAAGTTTGAGCCGTGCCGGAGGTTCGACGACAGGAGGGGGAGTAGGCTGCGAAAGAGAGAGAGAGAGGAAAAAAGCGAAGGAGGCAAAGGAGGAGGGGGACGCCGTAAATACTTGTGTAATAAAAGGGCTTCGCTCATATAAGACGCTTGGTTTTAACAGCGGAGACACAAAGGAGCCGCAGCCGGGATTGAGAGCGCCTTCATCGGCTCGGCTCAGCGTCGCTCTCCGCGGAGGAGCACGGACCGACGGACGGACGCGGAGGAGAGTGCGTGTGGCTCGTGATGCGCCTGGACAGCGAGTGGAGACCTGCGCTGACTGACCGCACTGGAGAGAGAGAGAAGGGGGGAGGACAGAGGAGAGAGGGGTGGAGGAGGAGAGGACAGAGAGAGAGAGGCGGAGAGGTGGTCTCACGTCAAAGGCGAAAAAACGTGTGACCAGTGAGTAAGTGCAGGCTGCGCTGGACCGAGCAGCGGTGCTTATTCCACAGGAGCGGGCGCGTGCGTGTGCGAGGCGCGTGCGTGTCGATCATGCACGGCACGCGCGCGCGGACACGGGACTCGGATCACTCCAGCGGCTCGCGCGCTCCGGCACACGGCGCTCTCGCTCCGCGGATTTATTCACGTTTGAGTCCGAGGTTCGAAACAAAGCGGCTCTTAAATCTGGTTTATGACGAAATAAAAGAAGTGAACTTTATGGACATTTAGAGCCTTTGTGCTTTCATTGGTTTGTACAAATCTAAATCATTACAGAAACATGGGTTTAAAGTGTGGAGACTCCCGCTGCGTCTTTGAGCGACTTTTGACAAAAATGAAACACGGTCTGACGCGGACATGAGGCGAGTTTTCCTGCGCCGCGCGGCGTTTTCTGGAGCGCTTCAAACTGTTTAATCCACACTCGGCCCGCTGAACAGATAAACATGAATCCTGTTTAAAACAAAGCCACGCGGAGGAAAGAAAAGGGCGTTTGCGTAAATGTCCACGCGGCTTTGGCACGAAGCGCACTGACACTCAGACTCTGAGCTCGAGACTTTAAACTGAGACTAAATGGAACGACAACATTTGTTCTTCTCAAAGTCTGTAAAACTGCAGAAGTCCCGCACGCGCTGCGTGTGACACGAGCGCGCGTGAAACCAGACACGACACCGGACGTGTTTAAAAATCACTTTTGATTTGGACAAAACAGAATTCAGTTTTATTTTAGGACAAAACGCAGATATCTGTGCGCGTGCCTCACATCTGTGCGCGTGCATTCCGGTACGCTCGTGCGTGTCTTTCATCCACACGCCCGTAATGAGAGCGGACAGCTTTAGTGGCTAATTATTGATTTCAACTTGTCCAGTCAATTTTCATTTAACGTCTCCAAGTTGAATCCCGTTTTTTACAAAGATAAAAACTAAAACATAAATGACAATAATGCAATAATGTGAATTATGTCAATCTATTTTATTAACGGATCAAAGTTGAACAGTGAAAGAGAGGAGGAGGGGAATGGAGAGTTTGGTGAGGCTGCGCTTAACCAGCTCGTACCCGCTGTGAGACACTGATCCCGGGTGTGAGCGCGCTGCCTCCGCCCTGCTCCACCGCTCCTCCGCTCCGTGCGGAGCTTCTGCCGCTTCTCTCCCCGCTCTGAGCGCACTGACAGGCGGACACTCACACCGCGCCGCACCGGGAGCATCTACCACACACCCACCCACACACACACACACACACGCACGCACGCACACACACGCGCGCACACAAACACACAAACACACGCACGCACACACACACAATAACAGTGCGCTGTGGTTTACGCGCGGAGACCAAGAAACTCATCTCTGAATTATTTAGCGAAACTACGTAACATTGACTCAATGCTCGGGTTTAACTTGTCTCCACACGCGTCATAAAGGAGCGGACACTTCACTGATGCCCAGAGGAATGCACAGACTTATGAATAAAAATGAATAATGATTTTGAAGTTTAACCAAACGCCAGAATTATACAAACAAAAATTAGGAGTAAAGAGCCATCGCGGTTTTACGCACAAGTTTGGAGAGGTGACGGTTTGTGGTGACACGCGTGCACGTCTGTGACACGTCCGCGCTGTCTCCTCTTTTCATATTTATCATTTACCATCAAACGTGTAGGATTGCCTTTGTTTACTCAGTAGAAGTGTTACTATTCGTCTCCACGCGCGCGTCTTCTTCCC